AATTTGCGTGTTCCTTTAAAGCTAACTTTACCGTCACCGATCACATGGCTTCTTTTACAGTTAAATTAATATTTTAAAAAAGATGTCTACGGTGAGTGTTGAAATAATTCGTTCCTTTCCTCGTGAAGGGATAAAATTAGGGATAGTATATCCTATAATCTTTTTTATTTTACAGTATCATTTTATGTCACGAAAAATGACTGCTGGATACGAAGTCTTTTTGACGAAATTTTAAAAATTCGGGTGTCAAACAGAATATACAAACGTTGGACAGAAAGAATTTAGAATATGCAGGGATATATGTTGCCAGAATGTTCAAATATCTCGCACCAATTGAATTCTGATCTTGTTTAATGTTTAATGTAAAAATTAATATTTACATGTATAGTAAGTTACCTTTCCATTTTTCCATTTATATGAGAAAAGAATTGTTAATGAAAATTACAATTTCTCGATATAAACCCTACAGGTGCTATTTTAAATTTGTAATAAAGACACGTGAATATCACTGAAACTGCCTAAATGTCTCATTTATCTTTCTTTAATATAAATTAGTTAATTAAAAATAAATTTAAAAAATGTATTTAGAAATTAAAAATTTTTTTACGATGTATGGAAATTTTGTAATCGAGTTGCATAAAAGATAAGTACGCGCGAATAATTGAAAGAATTTCAATTCATATATTAAAAATTATTGTATGCAACAAACAATTGTATGAACATTTAATTCACAATTTAAGCTTTCCCCGCAAATTCTTTATTTATTCTTACGCTTGATCGATACGAAGAACTCGATGTTTAAATATTTCCTCGTAGTGTTATTGTTATTTTTTCGTTTAAGTGCATACCAAATATATTGAAATCATCGCGGGAAATTTATTAATACAACCGGGTATTTCAGCATCGCGTCCGTCAACCTTGCTTCGTTTATTTGCTATATTCGGCTATTTTTAACTTTCGTTACAGCACCCTCGACTCGTGCATAACCCATCGCCGCTTTCGTTGGTTAATCATGGAAATTGATGAAGAAACCACGAAGGAGGTCGAGAAATCGATATCGGTGATCGGGATGCAATTATAGCAAAATAGGGGATAATAAGAAAATTAGGAAAATAATAATATAGAAACTAATTCGAAAATTATGAAATTATACGTAAATTTATTTATTCATATATAATAAGAAACTATCAACCTACATTTTCAGCTTTTAAAAAACACACGACGAAATATTCGACACCATAAGAACACTGGTTTCTATATTGATTTCATTCCAAAATGTAATTTGGTAAGAAAAATAATACCAGAGCAATGGAGGAAAAATTCGTCAAGAATAATAAAAACAGTAGGATAAAATAAAAATATTTTATTTTTTGTTTCGATAATGATTATTTATATCAACTCCGAAAAAATTTGCAGATGAATGGAATATCTGAAAATGTTGTTACAAAGTTTAGCAAATTTAACCTATTTGAAGAAAATACTCAAGAATCCATCGTTTATTATTTTATAGGTACATGCAAAGCAACATTCAGCAGCTTTTGTGTGCCACGAATTCAATTGAGGCTAAAACAATACACGATTTCAGACATTAAAGCTACACTAATCCGTGAAATGAAATACTAACTCTTTCACTATTTCTTCTACGATTAATTTTTGTAAATGGAAATGTGCGAAGATCACCTTGTCATTTATCACTGAAAGTTATCTACTAGAGAAGTTACCTACCATAAACGAAAAACCAATTCACGAAGTTTAAATTGTTTCTCTAATGTCACTATGTGAAACAACATAGTAACCGTTTAAAGTAAATAGAACAACAAATACGAGTCAAACGTTTACTGAATTAATATCGTGAAAAATACTAGAAGATAAATAAAAAAATTATACAGCATCGTAAAAATTGATAAAAGCTGTCTATATAAACCAACGTAAATTCTAGTAGAAATAAACCACCTCGTTAAATTTGATTTCGGTTGTTTGCTGGTATAATAACTTGGTATTCTGCACAACGAGTCTAATAAAGGTTATACGGTTGATCCGGCGAGACTTACTTTATAAACAGCTAGCCTGTAGATTTTTCAAGTCACCGACCTATGTTACACCAGATCATCTTCTGTCTTGAACACCGATAGAAAGTATTCTTCCTTTCACACGCGTTACTATTATCGACTCTACATCAGAGACACAAATTCTTCACATACGAATCACTTCTATCTCTGCGAAAGGAAAATTTCTAGATAAAAATAATACTGGTAAGAAACGAGAGAGGTATACAAGAGACCTGCCTCCTACCGTTGTCGTTCGAAAACTCATGGTGTGAGCTTGATGCGATCGTGTGCTTCTTCCCCCACTCCGATGGAGTTAATCGTGGTGGAGAAACCCCTCGTGTTGTTCGTATTTCGAACCTGACTCTCCGTGTATACACGAATACACGTGTACATACACTATCGCTCAAAAGTTGAGCACACGTGCTATCAATAAAGGTTTCTTAAATTTCGTATTTATTATTTGTGATTGGCACCTTTATTCTATACGCATTTTTCAATATGTATCTGAAATTATAATACTTAAATATATTACACATTGCAAAATTATACATTCTTATATAAGATGTCTTACTATTTCTGTCATTTCTACTTTACACAACTTCGACTATTTTATGTCAAATTAATGTACTGTTTATGAGTAATAAATAATATTAATTCATTTGTAAATACTGTAGGAATTTTTTGTAAAATTTTCTAGTGCATCTAATACATCTAGTAATAATTCAAAAATTAAAGTTAGATAATTATGATGACTAAACGTATTTCTTACGATCTTTTATTTCCTTGTATTTTTCTGATTTCTTAAAAATTGTTTATCTCAGAGATTCAATAACGTAATTGTTCTTTGTATTCTGAAACTTTTGACAGATAGTGTATGTAGGTATACACACAGTCTCAAACGGAACGTAGTCATTAGATATTCACGAACCGTGTATGTACAACATAGAGCAGGTGCTCCAAGTTTTTCTGTACAAATATTGTCTTTTCAATACTATAAATAAATAGCATAATTCTTGAGAAATTATTGCTAATAATTTCAATTAAATCTGAAATAATTATACGGAATTAGGATCATATTTGTCACAGTACGTATGATCGATATGGAAATATCGATACATATAATATTCTTTTTAAAAATACTGTTCTCAGATATCAATATATATCTACCTTATTTATTTCAATTTAGAAATTTAGCATCTTCTTCCTACTAACTCCTAGAAATTTGATATGAAAGGGCAACGATATTTTAGTTTCGATTAGAGTTATATTGATTTTGTTGTCCATATAGTAACACGTGAAATTTAAAATTGCTTGCAGATATCGTTGAAGATTAATGGAGCACGCTATGCAGAATTACCAAAAAATTCGTGACGGTTATTGTCGTGCCAACAAAGAGTCTAGATTATGCGATAGAACTTATATATACAGTATTACATTACTTGAGTATACACACGTATACGGACATAATAACTATACATATATACAGATTGCACTGCCTGGTTATCTGGAAAATACGATCTGCGTAATTGCGATTTCATTTTTGTTTCAAAAAAATCAGTCATGGTGTTTTTTTTATAAAATTATGAAAAACATTGTTAAATGTTTTTAATTTCATGGTCTACTGTACTTACTGAAAATAATTTCTGGAGTGACATATAGTTTTCCGTATCCTTTCATGCCTGGTTTCTTTTTGCAATGAAAAGGATCTTTATACTGCTCTCTCCCTCTTCTGGGTACCCTCCTTGCCCTTCGATACACGTGATTTGTTCCGCAACACACTTCCATGAATAAGTAACACGACAGACGAGGCGACTGTATTAGAATAGGAGGCGGGACCTTAGGGCGCCTCACGCAAACACTGTTTTACACGTACACATGTTTACTTGCAGTATTAAAGGCTTTCCTATCTGATGGAAAGTATTACAAAAATGGTAAATCATTCTATATTGTAATTACATAACTAGGAATAATTTGTAAATGTGATACTGTAAATGTGATGTATAATAAAATATTTAATCTTTCTATACAGTATTGACATTCGATTACGTATAAAAATAATTTAGAAAAGTTAAAATTATATCTTTCCAAGATTAGCGGTAAAAACTACTTTCATTATGATTTTATACCGTATTGTATAATTTAATTATACCTCTAAATTTCTAAACTGTAAATAAATATAAATTTATATTTTGTCTGTGATTATAATATTCAACAAATATCTGAACATATCCTGTCATTACTGTTATTATTTAAATGCCGATATTTATTTTATTGGAAGAAGTATTAAAAAATTGACACTTGAAAATAACTTACGGTTTCTAGAATCATGGAATACATGTAGCGAAAAATATTTAATATTCGTCTATGACATAAGCAGACGTATTTATTGATACGGTAGAAAAAAGACGTGACAAATCTTGTATGTTCATATCATACAAATTATCATCGGCATTACAAGTGAATTAATTTTTGGATCCTTATTGTAATAATATAAAAATCAGTCATGTAGGTACAAGCTAGTATAGCTAATATATCATAATTGAAAGACATATCTTCTAAATGCTACAATAATGTCTGTTAGATTCTCATAAAGGCAAACAGTCTCCTTTCGAAATATAAAATTAGGAAATTAGATTACAAATTTTTAAATAAAAAAGTTATAATAAAACACATTTTTCGTTTTCATATATATTTTAGAAGTAAAATATAATTATAATCATATAACCTTATTTCTTGTATGTTTTAATTATTCACATTATTTTTATTATCAAATATAAATATTTGAAAAACTATCTAATCATTTGTATAAATTTTTATTCGAAATTTCTTGAAACATTATATTTTATTTAATGCATGAACTAGTTGAACATTCTTTAAAATCAGACGTCACTGCAGTCAATTCCGTAGCGGCGCTCCTGTCGTATTAACGCTAGTAATATCCGGCCACGTTAAAATAGCTTGTTTAGGCAAAATATTGGCCGGGTCTTTGATCAATTAATTAAATAGCGTGTTTCACAATTTTCCTGAAATTTAAATGTGAATAAACTACAAGACAAAGAAAACTAACGAAGAATGGACTACTGGTCAATTTGCTTACTGTTTGTCTCGCTATTTAGTACAATATTACGTACTGGTGGTGTCGAGCTAACCTTTGAACTACCTGAGAATGCGAAACAATGTTTCTTTCAAGAAATCACCCAAAACGTGACAGCAATTCTTGAATTTCAGGTACATAAAATATATATTATTAAATGAGGTATTCCATTAAATAATGCGTAGTTATACAAGAAATCCTAAATAGTTTAACATACCTCGATATGACGTCAGCCACGTTTATGATCTTTATCAACTTGTCATTGAAAACCAAACCATGTTGTAACTAATATTGACGTTAAAACATATATTTTTAATTATTCTTTTCACAGTTTCTAAAATGATTTTATTTTAATTAAGTACACGTTTTTTAGGTTGTGACAGGTGGACAATATGATGTAGATGTAATTTTGAAAGCACCAAATAAAGAAATCATTTATAAACAAATAAAAACCCAGTTTGATTCACATCAATTTGTAGCATCAAGTACAGGAGCATATCAAGCCTGTTTTAGCAATGAATTTTCCACATTTTCACATAAACTTGTTTATATGGATTTCAGAGTAAATGATGAATTACCACATGTGACTGTCATGACTCAGGTAACATGAATTATTTTTATATTAGACTTGAAATAAAATATATTTAAAATTAATAAATATGATGTAAATATTTTTCTGTAGATGGAGACTTATGCTCTTGAGGTACATAAAAACCTGAATAGCATTTTAGACTACCAAACACATCATCGATTAAGAGAAGCACAAGGACGTAAACGTGCAGAAGATTTAAATACTCGTGTACTTTTATGGTCTATTGTAGAGACAATTACGATCTTAACCATATCTGTGGGACAGGTGTGTGTCTTGAGGACCTTCTTCACAGAAAGAAAACGTTAATACATTTGTTAGTGCATCTGTGAATAATATTTTTTTTGTTCGCAATAAAATAACGGCTCCGTCAAATCAATGTGAAACAACATCATATTTAACATTTCACAAGTTCTACTAATCACAGTGCCATGTTATCTTGGCCAGTTGTTTGTTATTTCTATATTTATTTTAAATATGGAAGCACAACTTAAAATAGACGGAATAATTTAGCAGCAAAAATTTGCAGTTTCCTCAAGTATGAGAATGTTGTGTATGCGCATTCATGTGTGTATAATTTGAATATTAAGTTATGCAAAATCTAAGACATTTAATAACTACCTGCTCTATTGAGCATAAAAGAGAATGTGGAATCAATCGGACTGTCTTTTCTAATAATGAACTCTAAACTTATTACTACTTTGGCACCGACAGTGCAGCATTGTCATAAAAAATACATTTTTCTTACTGTGAATGCATAATAATAAATTAGAATATTTGTGCGTATGAATGTGTTACTTCTTACAATTACATTTCCTATCATATTTTAGATCACTTAAATGTTATTGTAATTTATTATGCTTATACTTAATGTATTGACTAACAAATAAAATATAACTCAAATTCTTATTTTGTATAATCAATAAGGCCATATGTATAACAATCTCAAATACTTTTAGATATAGAACATAATAAATTTTATTTTTTAATTTACATTTTTTTAAACTTTTCAATTATTAAAATTTGTAAAAATATAATTTCATTATTTAAAATTGTAAAAAACAATTATATTTATACATGCAGGAGAATAAAATAGACATGGTATCTTTCGTGAATAACTGATAGATTGGCTCTAGACTAGTGAATAAATGCCGACAAATATGTCCGTAAAGGTACAGGTAGCCTTCTCGATCTAATTCTTATCTTCATACTTCAGCCTGACATCTAAACATCCACATCTGTTCGTGGTTCTGGAATCTCGGCAAGTTTTTTCTATAAATTGGACAGGGAAACTATAATCCGTCGAAAGACGGACAGCATCGATGAAACTTGTTCATATACGGTAATTCACTTTATTGAATAGTGCAATATGATAACTTGTGGCATACATATAATATTGATGATATATATTAATATGCAATAAGAATATATAATGTATACTTCTTACATAGTACTAATAGACTTAAATCCCGTTTTTACGGAAATACGTCATGAGTGTATCTTTAAAACAGCCGGTAGTACTACCTTATCGTTAGAATCACATTAACCTGCTAAAACGATATGAGCAGAGAACAACAGCTGTTATAACCTACTAAGAAAAAACGTAAACAAATTTGAGTAAAATTGTATGAAAGTTTTATATAATGGAGGTAAATTTTCAATTTTATATCTACTAATATAAACAATTAACAAATTTTTATTTTATTGAATATATGAATAAATGATTATTAAAATGTTGCATTTATTTACTACACATAAAGAACTAATATTTATTTATATTTTCAGAATAAATAGTGTTTATAATATTTTAATTATTTAAATTTTGTCAAATAAACAATTTATGATTAAATATACATATGTCATTAAAGTCTTTTACTAATATCAATATTGATCACTATTCAGCTGTTTTTATATAATTATTCTTTATATATAATCATTTGAATTATAAATAATCTTATATTTTATTCAGGAACAAGATATACCTATTGACATTAATTGTGGGAAATTATTAGAATGGTTAATTAATAGACGACATTGTACTAAGGATTGGCATACAAAAGTTTTAACTATCAGAGAGAAAATTCATAATGCAATACAAGATATGCCTGCTCATGAGGGCATAGCAAAATTATTATGTGGATCATGTATGCTAAATCATTGTTTTATATTTTTAAATAATCATAATTTAATTTTCATTTATTATTTAATTTTTACTCTTTCAGATATCAATTATTTTCATTGCTTAAAAATAGTAGAAATTTTAAAAGAAACTGAAGCTGATACAAAGAATGTATTTGGCAGATATGGTTCACAAAGAATGAAAGATTGGCAAGAAATATTACATTTATATGAAAAAGATAACATATATCTTGCAGAAGTGGCTCAAATGCTTATAAGAAATGTTAACTACGAAATACCAAGTACTAAAAAACAAATTCAAAAATTAGAACAGATACAAGTTGTAAGTATTTATTGTGAACATTATTTATTACTACATTTTTATAAATAATATAATGACCTTTTGGCAGGACTTAGAAAAGAAAGAAACAGACTATAAAAAATCAGAAAATATAGCTAGATCAGAATTTAATTTATTGTGTAAGCAATTAGACATTCCTGGAAATAAAATTAAACAAGAATTGACTGAGAAAATAAAAGATTTACCAGAAATTTATGAAAAGATTGCTAAAAAGACAAAATCATTAGAGAAAGCTGTAGAATTTTATTGTGATTTTGTCAATTATACTCTTGGCAGGCAACATGATGGTGGTTGCGTCCCTATGATAAAATACATAATTGGTATGTTAAATTATTTACAATTTCATAAAATAAAATAATAAAATATCTAAAAATTCATCATATGTATATGACAATATTATGGATTAATTAGATAAAGGAAACACTACCACATATGAATGGATTTATGAAGAAGCCCCATTATCAATTACTGAGCCACCTTTAAATATAAGCTTTGACAATGATTTAGAGAAAAAGAAAATTGAAGATACGGAGAACACTGTATGTATGTACTTATAAAATGTCACAAATAATTTACAATATTTTTCTAAATATTTTTGTGTTCAATTAAGGAAATTGATTTTGGAGAAATTGATATAAATGATGGTATAAATTTCGGTGATATCAATTTAGAAGCTGGTGGTGAAATTGATTGGGGTAATGAAAATATAGAAGAAGCTGCTGCTGGAGATATTGACTATAATATTTCAAAAGAAGAATCTGGTATAGTTGTAGAAGCAGCTGGTCATGAAGGTGGAACTGCTACTGGTACTGAAGCATATACAGTTCTTGACAATCCATCTACTAGAAATGATTATATTAATCAATTATTCGAGGTATGTACATTTATGTGTTTTTCCTAACTAAATGTATGTCATTTATAATGATTTATTTTCTTACAGCTGGAAGCATTCCTTAAATTACGTTTATTTGAATTTAAAGGAGATGATAAAGTAAATTTCTTAAGCTTCAGTCAGTTACAAGATTCATCTTCTACTATACAACATTCTACACTGGAAAATACTCAAAATATGTTAGATAACGTCCAAGTTATTTTATCTGAAATTTTAGATACTAAAGTTCAACATTTGCATAACATCAAACACTCTGTGAGGTAAACAAAATAAATACCATCATTACATGTTATTTTAAACAAATTAAAAGTTTGTTTATTTTTGTAGATATGTAGATGTTTTAACTTCATCATTAAAACAAAAATTAAGTTTAGTTGAAAAAATGATAGCTTTCCAAAAGACTATGAAAGCAAAGCGAGAAAATTCTGTAGAAGAAGTTAATACTGTTCGACCACTTCTTCAACTTCTTATACAAAGAACAAAGGAACTACAAGTAGAGGTATTTGTAATAATTTTTCATGATAAGATTTATCTTTTACTATATGGTTATTTGTTAATTTTCTTTTTCTACTTACAGATTGAGAAAGATATTTCAAAAAAATATAAAAATAGAATTGTACATTTAACTGGAGGTATAAATATATTATAAATAAATTCGAACGAAAAAATATAATTTGTCCATTGTAAATAAGATTTTATTGTAAAATGAGAAAAAAGAATAGTATTATATACACTTGTTTTTTACATTTTGGTGAACACTTATTCTGTTAATAAGATAACAAAGATAAAATAAAACGAAACTATTTTAATGTTTATTGCATTATTGATGTATAGTGTTATAGAAAAATTTGTACCTTTTATCATAATAAATGTTACAAAACTTATTAAAGTAGATTTCTTATCTTTGGCATGAATATAATGTTATCGAATTATAAATTAACTTCCGAATTAATTATTTATATTTTATAATTCTATGCCAATAATCACATGATCATAAAAAGATTTTGCACCAATCTCCAAGGCGAAGAAGTGCATACGGCTTTGGTTGTTGGACAAGGATAACGCTTTAGACACTCAGCGAATGAACGATCGCATTCACATAATCGTTGAGCACATGATCCAGAACCTCCCCAATTTCCATGTTCAACAGCTATAATATAAAAGAATAAATATTTTCAAGCAAATGGAAATTACTAAAAAATCGAAGTAACGTGTACAATAAAACTAACCGCATACTGGTTTGTAACCATGGTAACATCTCCAATAATATGGTACAAAATACTCTGAAAACATTGGACATTCTGTAGCATCATAGCACCAATCATGCATTTTACAACACCTATACAAAGTTATTAAATTGTTAATCAAATTAAATTAATATTTTTAAATTCATGTAATTTTTAAAATATTTCTGAAATTACATATATCATGGGTTTAAATATTAACATGAAAAGTTTACCTATCTATTCCATCTATCACATATCCTGAGCCCAGAAAGCCACAGTAGCATCCATATCCCTTATAAGCTAAAGGATTGCATCCAGTGGCGCATACAACCATGTTATATAAATGTATTACACCTCTTTTAAATCTTCTATGTGTTAAACTCTGTTCATTATGTATTCTAAAAGAAATATATTTTTTGTAAACAATTTAAAATTACTTTCTTTGCCAAATAAAATTGCTACAATTAAAATTAATATATTTTTGACAAACACTTCTTCCAATAAACGAATTACCACGTAAATTATCATAATCTAAAAACAAAAAAAAGAAAGAAAATAAGAAAATAAATGCAAAATATAAAAACCATTAAACTTACAATTGTTGACCATCTTTCGTGTGATTATACGTAAAATTAACAAGTGAAGATTCATGTACATAGTTATTTTTCTTGTGCATAGATATCGAAACCCATGACTTATCCCTTTGTTCTATATGAAAATTTCCTTTTTCCCAATTATCTTCTACATAATTAGGAAAAATGTTATTTTCGTGTAACTTATACGATTCTCTATTTCTAATTAATTTCTGAGTACTTTGAGTATTCCTGGCTATAAAAATAATATTTAAAAATAAATGAATATATGTAACACAACATAGCGATTTAAAAAGAATATGTTAAACAAATATAGTACGAGTCGCCTTAATAATCAATCTGTCAAAATAAGCTATTAGTTGCACGAAGTATATGCATATATATAGATCGTTTACTATTATTATAAACTTATTTTATCTTCATCTCAGTTAGTTTCTTCTGAAATTATTCTAATTTCTCGTAATATACCGTATTTTAATAATTTCATGCTTCGTCATTATAGTTTCTATGTAACTTTTACAAATCTTTTCTTCTAGAAATGTACGTTTTTAAGATATACGTATCACCAAAATTAATTTATATTTTATAACGCGAAACATTGTAATTTATTATAGATGTTAGAATTTTCAGTGTCATTCGTTTTCCTTCGATCTACTTGTTGATTTTAAAACAAGCGCTTAAAACGTCCATCTGCCATCTCACTTTTCCAACTATTCTGTTCTTTTCTTTCACGCTTAATGCACCGCGGCCTCTAAAATCGGAACACACTTCCGTCTACAATACATTATTTAATTATAACACTGAAAAACTCAATTATGAACTACCAGTGCGAGTGCAGTATTATTTTGTAATTTACTAGTAGATGTAATCTTCTTTCTTTTTACACTTAAATAATCATTTAAAAAAGTTCTAATCATTTTGCAGTATTTATTAGTTTATCTAGTCGATACCTTAACCTTACTTCCAAATTTAAAATTGAGCTACTTTAGTAACAGTATATCATGTTTTCCTCTCTTTTGCAGATGAATTTTCTTGAAAAAAGAAATGTTTATTATCATTAATTATCGATCATTGGATAAATAATTTTTACAATTTCATTTTCAAATATCATAAGTTTAAAAACAGTGTATAGAATCTTTTATGAATTACTTTGTAACACGTTTCTATCGTTTCAGGGACGATATGCCTGTTAGAATATTTTCTTACAGTTTGCGTCAATTGAAATTCTGTATCATACTTAATGTTATTAGCATTATCACATACCACGACTTTCGTAACAAGGCAACGTTACGAGTATCACAAGGGATAGAAAAATGGAGAGGATCCTCCGTCGATGTATCATCTGTGGCCGATCGGAACCATGAGAAATCAACGCGGTATAGATTCTTTTTTCCATCGAGTACGTTTTCAGAAAAACGAAAACGAGCTTTGAATGTCAGCTCCAAAACTCATTTGACATGTTACCACTCGTGAGTTCTGGTTTCGAAGAATCGCATTTCACGCGTGAACGCATTATCCATTACACATTATCAATCCGCGTAAAGGATTTATCCATCGTTGATCACGAAAAATCACTCGATAAAACATACGTCCTTAACTTCTGTTATCTTCAAAGGTACATCAAATTATAATTATTCTCCTTTGTGAAATCTCAAAATCAGATCATTATATTCACGAGGTGCTCGAAGATCGTACAAAAATTTTCGAATATTTTTTTAAATTTATCCATGAACTGACAATCCTTGCATTTAAACATATAATTCTCTCATTAACAGTTCGTTTAAAAAATGCGAACAATCCAAATATATTTTTTGTAAAATTAAAAAAAGTTTACAAATTTTCAGAAATTTCCATTCCACGAAACATCATGTTCTACTTCAACGTAATCAAGACTACGTCCACTCGAACAAAATTTCTGCAACTGAAATCACACTGTGGCTGTTCTCTGAAGCCCTTGCCATTCCTATGACAGGAGAATCGAATGAACACTGACCGGTCTTATCAAACGCTCCTGGTCCATCTGTTCCCTCTATGGGGAAGCCTGCTCCTTCCACGGTATATTTGACGACCTGTGATTCACCGTTCTGCTGAAC